ATTTCTCGTGCATGTATCGGTTTCGTGCGTGGCTTTTTTTGCTCGATGGTCCAGGATGGTCCTCGATGGTTCTCTCCGAGGAAAAAATGCACACGTCCGAGCGATGGCCAAGTCACTGGACGACGTACGAGGAAAACGGCCCCCGGGCGGCCATTACATCGGGGGCCCTCGCTCCTCGCCCCTCCCCTGGACCCCTCCCTCTAGGGCTTCGCCCCGCACTAGAACGCCACCACTCGTGCCTCGCCTTTCCTGTTACCCGGGCCGGCGCTGGAACGGAAAGGGCGGGCCAGGAACTTGCACGAGATGGCTCACGGCACCCTTCGCTCTTGGGAGCCTTGGTGGTAAGAGCTTGTCACTTCACCGCTCGCTCTTGGCAGCCTTGGTGCTCAGAGACTTTTACATTGCCGCTCGCTCTTGGGAGCCGTGGTGTTGAGAGTTGTTTACGTCACCGTTCGCTCTTGGGAGCCTTGGTGTTACGAGTTTGTCACGTCACCGTTCGCTGTTGGGAGCCTTGGTGTGAAGAGCTTGTTGCGTTACCGATCGCTTTTTCATTTTGCGTCTCTGCGCCTTCTTGGGGATCTTTTTGGGGCCCTTCGGGGGCTCGTTTGGACAGTTTTGGAGTCCTTTTGAGCCGTCTTGGGGCCCTATTGGGCTGTCTAGGGGCGTCTTGGGGGCCTTGGACCGTCTTGGGCTTTCTTGGGGGCCTCTTGGGGCCCTCTCGGGAGCCTCTTGGTAGCCTCTTGAATCTCTTCTGGGGCTGTCTTGGGGCCCTCGCGGGCCGTTTGGGAGCCCCCTTGGGGCCCTCTGGGGCCGTTATGGGGCCCTCTTGGGGGCCGCTTGAGTCGTCTTGGGGGGCCTTTAGGCCTGTCTTGGACCGTGTAACAACAGAAAAAGCGGTGCTGAATAGCTACGTTTTCCCATCAGAACTTGACGATTTGTGCTTCTTTGGCGTCCTCGCGGGGCCCTCACGGAGCGTCTTTGGGGCCTCTTGGGCCGCCTTGGAGCAACCTTCGGGCGTCTTTGGAGAATCTTGCACCGTTTCGGGGCAAACTGAGGCCGTCTTGGGGCCCTCTTGGGCTGTCAGGGAGGCCCTCTGGACAGTTTTCGGCCTCTTTCGGGGGCCTCTGGCGCCGTCTTGGGGCGATCTTTGGGCCCTCTTGGGCCTGTCTTGGGGCCCTCTTGGACCGTTTTGAGTTTCTTTTGGGGGGCTGGGGCCGTCTTGGGAGAATATTTGGGACCTCTTGGGCCGTCAAGGCGAGAACACGAAAAACATGTAACAACCCTTGGGAAATCAATGTTTTTGGCCTCCTCAGGCCCTTTTGGGGGCTCTCTGGATGGCCTCTGGAGCCGTCAGGAGGCTCTCTTGGACCGTCTCTCTTGGGGCCGTCTTGGTGCCCTCTTGGGCCGTTTTGGGGCCCTCTTGAGCCGTCTTGGAGCCATGGAGCCGCTTCAATTGAAAAAGTATAAGAAATACGCCACGGGAGCCGCCCGGGAGCTGCTTCACTTGAACCAATACAAGGGAAACGGCCCCCGGGTGGCCACTACCCGGTATCACCCGGGCCTCGCCCCTCCCCTGGACCCCAGCCTAGAAGGCTTCGCCCCAACACAACGTACATCACTCATACCTCCCTCTTTCCGTCACCTGGGCCGGCACGGAAACGGAAAGAGCGCCCCAGGAACTGGCCCGAGACCCGAGAGGGCTCATGGCACCCTTCGCTCTTGGGAGCCTTGGTGTGAAGAGCTTGTTACGTCGCCGCTCTCTGATGGGAGCTCTGGTGCTCAGAGACTGTTACGTTGCCGCTCGCACTTGGGACCCGTGGTGTGACGAGCTTTGTACGTCACCGCGCTCTGGGGAGCCTTGGTGTCCAGAGCATGTTACGTCACCGCTCGCTGATGGGAGCCATGGTGTTCTTGAGCGTCTCTGGGGCCTCGTCGGGGTCTTCTTGGGGCTTTTTTGGAGCCCTTCGGCGGCCCTTGTGGGGAAATTCTGGGCCGTCTTGGGGCCCTTTCGGGCCGTCTAGGGGCGTTATGGAGGCCTTTGGCAGTCTTGGGGCTCTCTTGGGGGCTTCTTGGGGCCTCTTGGGAGCCTCTGTGGGCCCTCTTGGAGCTCTTTTGGGGCCTCCTTGGGGCCCTCTTGGGCCATCTTCGGGTCCTTTGGGGCAGTTTTGGGCCTGGGGCCATCTTGGGGCCCTCTTGGAAGCTTTCGGGTCCTTTCGGGGGCCTCTTGGGCCGTCTTGGGGCGATCTTTGGAGCCTCGTGGGCTGTTTCGGACCGTTCTTGGCCCGAAAAAATAAAAACCCGAAACAGCTTGCAAAACTACCGAAACAATGTTTTCTGCCCCTGGGGGCCCCTGTCGGGAACCCTCTGGCCGTCTGGAGGCTCTCTTGGGCCGTGTGGAGGCCATCTGAGGCTCTCTTGGGGCCATCTTGGTGCCCTCTTAGGCCGTTTAGGGGCCCTCTGGGCCGTCTTGGGGCCTTTCAGCCGCTTCGCTTGAGCAAAATACGAGGAAGCGGGCCGTGGAAGGCGCCCGCGAGCCGCTCCACTCGGAACGAAACATACGGTCGGACCTAGGACAGAAGAACATCCCTCAAGAACTTGAGACCCTCCGCCAGCCCAACCACACAGAACATCCAAGGGTACCCTCCCCAGGATGCACAAGAGCATCCAACAAACACGAAGAACACTAGGGTACCCTCCCCGAACCGACCTCGATCTTATACCTTGGTCCGGCTGTAAAGGAAACGGCCCCCAGGCGGCCACTACCAACCACATGTGCGGCCCTCGCCCCTCCCCGGGACCCCTCCCTAGAAGAGGGCTTCGCCCCCCCCCCCCCCCCCCCACACACACAGGAACCGTCACCACTCGTACCTCGCTCTCTCCGATGTCCGATCGGAGTCCGCCTCGCCCCTCCCCTGGACTAGGGAGCCCACAAAGGACGTACGCGCCCAGCTATGTACATGAACACGGCCCCTCGATCCGCGAGACCGGCCGCGTGATACGAACATTTGCGCAACGCGAACTCTCGAAACCAGCATGGATTCACGTACATGTGCGTCCTTTTTCCGCTCCTGACTGGACCCCTCCCCAGAAGGCTTCGCCCCAACTCAGGAACGTCATCACTCGTACCTCGCTCTTCCCGTCCACCGCCCCCGCCCGCCTCGCCCCTCAACCGGACCCCTCCCAAGAAGAGGGCTCCGCCCCCTGAGAACGTCATCGCTCGTGCCTCGCTCTTTCCGTCACCTGGGCCGGCACGGGCACGGAGAGAGCGCTGTGGGGCCTTGGGCCGCGTCGCTCGAAAAAAACATACGAGGAAGCGGGCCGTGGGAGCCGCCCGGGAGCCGCTCCACTCGAACAAATACGAGGGAAACGGCCCCCCGGCGGCCATTAGACGTACACCCTGCGAAATGCTTAAGAAATCATGGGTTAAGAAATTCATAGTCTCAGAATTTGAATAAAAACCCAGAATGTCTATCAAAATCTTGGGATTTACACTGAAACGTTGAGAATAATCGAGACTCTGGCCGAAAACTTGGGTTTTCTTAAGCATCGCCTGGAGTGTATGCGTACTCCCCTCGCCCCTCCCCCGGAACCCCTAAGGCTTCGCCCCACGCAAGAACGTCATCGCTCGTACCTCGCTCTTTCCGTTACCTGGGCCGGCACGGGAACGGAAAGAGCGCTGCTGGAACTTGCCCGAGATGGCTCATGGTACCCTTCGCTCTTGGGAGCCTTGGCGTCGGTTTGGGGGCCCTCTTGGGCCGTCCCGAGGCCTGGCGACTGCCCGGAGGGGCCAACAATGGTAAAAAACCTCCGCACTGAATTCCCTACCTAGGCTCTGCCTAGAAGGGTTCTTACGGGCCGGGCAGTGTAACTCGCCCCGGGCGGTTCCCCCAATATCCGGCCCGCGGTTCCCCCAGTTACGTCCCCTTAGCTTAGCGTTGCTTATCTCATCTTGGCTTAGCTGATTTTCATCTTAGCTTAGCTTAGCTTCATGTTGCTTTCCTAGAGACTCCAACTCCTAGGTAGGGTCGCACTGGGATAATTTTTCTATACTCGGCGGTGGACAAACCTCCCTTTAGAAAACCTCCCTGTAGTGAAAACGGCCTGGGACCGATACCGACGGACCTGGACCCGCAAAAATGACGGCCGCGACGCCTTCTCGCGAACCGGAAGCGGCCAATTCCTTAATCGACGTGTGTAGGAGGTCTGTCCACCCCCGATCATGGTACCCTTCGCTCTTGGGAGCCTTGGCGTCGGTTTTGGGGCCCTCTTGGGCCGTCCCGAGGCCCGGCGAGTGCCCGGAGGGGCCAAAAATGTTAAAAAAACCTCCGCACTGAATTTTTCTGCACGGTGGAGGTCGGGGGACCTTGCCCCTGACCGAGGTCTGCTACCCGGCGCTCCCTCCGACGGGCCGCGACGCCCTCTCGCAAACGGGAAGCGGCCAAATCCTTCATCGACGTGTCAGGGTAGGAGGTCTTGTCCACAAATTTTTCTATACGGTGGAGGTCTGGGGACCCTGCCCATGACCGAGGTCTGCTCTCCGGCGCTCCCTCCGACGGGCCGCGACGCCCTCTCGCAGACTGGAAGCGGCCAAATCCTTAATCGACGTGTCAGGGTAGGAGGTCCTGTCCACAAATTTTTCTATACGGTGGAGGTCTGGGGACCCTGCCCCTGACCGAGGTCTGCTCTCCGGCGCTCCCTCCGACGGGCCGTGACGCCCTCTCGCAAACTGGAAGCGGCCAAATCCTCCCCCTCCTCCTCCTCCTCCTCCTCCTCCTAATCCTCATCCTCCTCCTCCTCCTCCTCCTCCTCCTTCTCCTCCTCCGTCTCCTCCTCCCTCCTCCCTCCTCCCTCCTCCCTCCTCCCTTCACGCTTTGTCCGCCGCTGCCGTTTGTGTTCAAGGGGGGTCTAGGAGGTCTTGTCCACAAATTTTTCTATACGGTGGAGGTCTGGGGACCCTGCCCCTGACCGAGGTCTGCTCTCCGGCGCTCCCCCCGACGGGCCTTGGTCGGCTCCGGGAAGGGCACGCGGACGCCGTCCTGGGGGCAGGCTCTCGGCCGGGGCGGCGGGGGGCCCCTCGCGCGGGGATCGGGGGTGCCCCTGGCCCAAGGTCCCCCCATCGTTGAAGGGGAAGTGGGACACACAAATAAATACACACAAATAGAAATATCACCCATATTTTCCCATATTTTCTGGATGGTTGTCTTTTGTCTTCCCCCCCACTTCCCATATTTTCCCATATTTTCTGGGGAATCGACGATTAATTGTGTCTGTGTGTTTTTCCCCTCCTGAATCGTTTCGGTCAGCTGAAGGAGCCCCCACACAGGGGGGCCCCCTGGACCTCGTGAAGGGTACTCTGGGGGCCGTGGGGTGTTCCTCGAAGTATCGGGGGGCGCACATTGGGCCAGGGGCCCTTCTCGCAACGCCCGAGGGGGGGGGGGGTCGGCGGCCGAGGGGGCCCCTCCCTCCTCGGGGCGCGGGTCGCGAAGAATCTCCGCGCCGAATTCTGCTGTGGCATTTTCGGAACCTGGACAGACGACAGTCTGGGACGCGAAACCGGCGGCCCCTGGGAAGAGACCTGAAATGGACTTCGGGGGGGAAAGGGGGCGTATTGAAAACAGATCAACACGTCGGAAGTCTGGGAGATTGTCCCCCATCCCCAGCCCACACCAGAGAAGGGTGGAAAAAGAGACAAGTCATTAGGATCCAAGGTGAAGACAATGTCGGGTCGAGACGGATCAGGAATCTCTGAGTCGGCGGGTGTGGAGGACGCGCCAGGCTGCGTGGTCGGTCCAGAGTGCTCCAGACCTCTCTGGAGCGATTTGTCTTCACTTTAGGCCTGCTCTCATTAGAGGCCTCCTAGATGGGGTCAGAGTAAATGGGGTCGGAAGATCGAGCCGCATCGCCGATGCATCACCGATACATCGACGATGCATCGACGATGCATCGCCGACGTCGGCGATGCATCGGCGACGTCGGCGTGATTAAAATTGGGCCCCACATCGAGCCGCATCGCCGATGCATCGGCGATGCGGCGCGATCCTCTAACCCTATCTACTCCGACCCCATCCTAGTGGCCTAGATCTCACGAGGGAGACGTCAAGGAAGAACAACCATATCGCCACTGAGGACAACCGTCTGGGCTGGGATGAAACCGTGTGGTCGGAGCCGCGGGCCCAAGGATCTGTTGGATACTGCGCACGGAGGCGCACGTGCGACGAGCGGTACAGACATCAATCGAGGAGGAGGAGATGAACCAGTGTAAACCCAAGACGCATAGACGATGTTGCAATGCCCTCCAAGATCCCTCTTCATAGGTCCCAACAGAAATTCAGTTTCACTGCGGGAATGCCCCGTTGGCAGATTACCATCTGATAATCCTCAACCATTCCAAAACACTTGCCTGGGACTTCAACGCCGCGAATCAACGTCTCGTTACTGTTGCGTCCTTGCGATCCTGAATCGTGCCAGAACACCTTCCTGGGAGTTCAACACTGCGAATCATCGTGATTGTTGCGCCCTGACAACCCTAAATCGTGCCAACACATATTTTCTGGGACGTCAACCATCCGAATTGTCGCGACCGCTATAAATCTTAAACTGATTGTGCGTGGCGCTCATGCGAAAATAACATTTTGAAAAGGCACCGGCCTCCATCCGTGAAACTTTTGCCAACTTTTAAAAAAGGTATACGGGGTTACGGCGAGATCCACATTTTGGAAACCACCTGCAATCCGTGCGTGAACTGTTGCAAATGTTCAAAGATTCAGGGTCGCAAATGGGGAGGGAGTCTCAGTCGAAACGCTCGGCCCGCTCTACTGACACGTCTCGGGGCGCGACAGGGAGGAGCTATTCATGAGCAGAAAAGATGGAGGAGGAAAGGGCTGGGGGGGCAGGGGAGGAGGGCGGGGAGGAGGGGAAGAGGATTGGCGGCAGAGCAGGGGGTGGGGAGCACGAGAACGGGGAGGGGGGAAGAGGCAGGGGGTCCACAGAGGTCCACGAAGGCCTCCAGAAGCATCAAGAAGCGCCGAAAGCCTCGACCCACTCCGCTCGCTCCTCCTCCCCCTCCAGAGGAGCAAAGGCTGTCCAGAGTATGAGGAAGAGACGGAGGAGGGAAGGGAGACTAGGAGGGTAGGGCGAGGGGGGAGAAAGACAGGAGAAGCAGAAGGATCAAGTGGAGTGTCGGGGGCGTTTAAGAGGGGGGGGAAAACATGACTCGAGGAATGTGCGCGGGACCAGGGAATGTACAGTGGGAGCTCGACCACAAGAAACCTGAGAAACCCAACCTTGAGCCCCCAGGATGTCCATGGGTTTTTTGGAATGGGAACGTCACGCTTTCCATCGGAAAACCATCGAAACCCAAGAAGACCAGAGCAGACTGGAGGCAATCAGAGTGTTTTGGGGGGCATGGATTGCCACTGCACTGAAAGAGAGAAGGATCCTGAAAATCTGGGACAAGTCATGGCTCTGGCCACGAGATCCACACCCCCTGGTCCTCAAGCCCCTCTTGGACGCCCCCCCGAGAAGGGGAGGGAGGAGGAGCCGCGGTGGAAGGCGCGATGAGGACGAGAAGATGAGGATCGGGAGAGGCACAACGACTTCCTCCGCCTCCTCCTCCTCCTCCTCCTCTTTCTCCTTATCCTCCTCATCCTCCTTCTCCTCCTCGTCGTCGTCCTCCTCCTCCTCCTCCTTCTCCGAGCGGTGTCCTCCAAGGCCAGGCGCGCACAAAAAGGAGAGGAAGCGAGGTGCACCTCCCGGTGACTGGCGAAAGACGACGGCAGCAACTGTGACACTCACCTCGTGCTTCCTGGCCGCGAACGTGTGTGGCTATCGGTTGGTATGCACGTATTGTGGCCAAGCTAGCGCCTCCCCCTCTCGAAGAGCAGCCAGACGGGACGGAGGGGGAAAGCATCTCTGACCTCCAGCTCGAAGAGGCATCGTGGACCTCCTCGCTGCAGGTGGCCCGCTGGTGGTGGTGTCGGTTTTCCTCCCTCCGATTCAAAGGCGGACGCGCAAATGATATCCGCTGCCCCAACAGTCCCTCCGCCTGATTCTGGTTCTCCGTGGGGTGATGAGTGCCTGGGCAGAGACGATTCAGAGTCAGTGAGGAGGACCGACGAGAACGACAATGAGCCTAATTTGTTGACCGCCGCCCACGCCTGCCACAAAGCATCCGAATGATGCGATGAGCAAGAAGATGCGGCTGACTGCAAGTCGGTCGGAACTGCAGAATGGCCTGGTCGAAACTAAAATGATGGCTGACCTCGGGGTAGGTAAAAGCCAGGGACACCCTTCAGCCCATCTCGGGCCAACTTCCCCACTGAGGGGCAACGATGGGCAGGGACTGAGCTGGTTCAGGGGGGGGTCGACCTGGAATCGGCGATGCATCGCCGATCGATCGGTGATGAGACCCCGATAGCGAAACCGCACGGTCCTGGGTTCTGGGCGGGGTGAACTATCGGGCCTGTATTAGCGATTAATGGGCAATTGGGGAGCGATGCATCATTCCCCCCTGAGCATCTGAGCATATCTCCCCCTATCATAGACAAGCGCGATCCACTACCCGCAAAGTAGCTACTCGCAAGTGGTGTGGATCCGCCGCGGGGGACTACATATTACATGGAGGCAATCACATGTTTTTCGGACGTTTGCGAGTAGGCACTTTGCGAATAGTGGAACGCGCTCGGCGATATCAGGTCGTTGCCTGTTGGCCTTCGGGCCAACGCTCGGCTCTCTAGCGGCCGCCTGAGACAATATCCTGCCCCCCCCCTGGAACGCCCTCGAGGAGGCGCAGCTGCTAAACATCGCCGAGAACCGCGGAAAAAAGCCAAGGAATCGTTGGGCCCCCCCATGAGCACATCCCCCTCTAACATGCGGTCGCCAAATCCACGGATCGGGGGAGGTGCCCTCCCCAAAGTGCGGCCGGCGCCGCCTCGCTCGGCGGCGGGAATCCGCGATTTCCCATGGAAACGGGGCCCGTCGCTAATCCACGCCCCCTTGATCCATGTCTGCGATCGCCTGACTCCTGGGCGGAGAAGCGGGAGCAAACCGCCCGCCGGTGGGCGCTCCTGGAACAGCACGGGCTTGTGCTCGTCTGGCACCGTCGCGTGCCTGGCGGCGCCGCGCCGCCGCCCTGCTCTTCCTTCTGGAGCGTAGCTCTCGACGGTCCCAGGGCCCGAAATTCGGCGGCGGGCGGGGGGGGGAGTGAGAAGGAGAAGGCCTTCTCTAGGGGGAAAACAAGCCTACCTCGCTTTTGACCACCCTCGCTTCCAAGAGATACCAAACGATGCCAAATTGCAGCCTGCACTGGTCAGGCCGCTTGACGAGGAGGCGCGTGGTATGACTTGGTTTTGCCTGGAAGCGAAAGCGGGGTAGGTATTTCACGCTCTGATTCTCAGAAGACGGCGGGGCTCCTCAGAAGCCCTCGCGCCTTCTGGGGAGCTTCCTGTGCGCTCCAAGGCCGAGGGACCTCCGAGCCTTCTGCGAAGGCCTCCCAACTTCGCGCTTCGTGCTTCGCGCTGCGCGCAGTGCGAATAACTTCGCGCTCTCGCGCCGCCTCCCAGAGGAGACGAGGAGGATGAGGACCGCGCCCGTCGCTCTTCCCTTCCTCGGCTCTCCCTCCTCACTCCTCGCCTCCCTCTCTCCTCGACCGTCGCTCTTCCCTTCTTGCTCCTCGCTCTTTGCTGATTGTTTCTCGCTTATCTTCGCTTGCAGAGGAGTCGGAGCCGCACCGCGAGGCGCGAAGAACTCCGCGCCCCCGAGGACGCGCCCTTGCCCTTCTCGCCTCCTCCCGGGCTCGCCGCCGAGCAACGGGGCCCCTCGCGGGGCCCCCAAAGGTTATGTGGGGCCTGTCTCCCTACAGGGGATTCTCGACGACACGTAGAAAAAAAACCCAAGAATAGTCAAAAATAATCCAGAAATAGTCAGGGGACTATTTTTTGAGTATTGTTTGGCCTTTTTGGGGTATTTTTTTGGGGGGGGGGTATTTTCCATTTTTCGTCGAAAATCCCCCTGTAGGGGGACACGCCCGACTTAACCCCAAGGGCGACCAGCCTCAGCCCAAGATTCGCCCCAGACTCCACGGCGTCGGCTGCCTGGGGGTCGCACCCGCGCCCGCGCCCGCGCCCCCCCCTCCTGGCCGCCGCTGCCCACTGCCACGCTCCCCCCCTCGAGGTTCCATGAGGTGGATTCGGCTACACGCAGGAGTGACCCTGGGTAGGTCGGCGGTGGACAAACCTCCCTTTAGTAAACCTCCCTTTAATGAAAACGACCTAGGACCGAAACCGACGGACCTGGACCCGCAAAAATGACGGCCGCGACGCCCTCTCGCGCACCAACGCCCAATTCGCTAATAGACGTGTCAGGGTTTGAGGTCTATCAACCTCCGAATACGAATGACCTTTGGTGCGTGGCTTTTTGGGGGCCGCGGGGGGCCCAAACACAAGCGCGCGAGACGCCGCCATCGCCTCGCGTTCGGTGCCCCAGTGGGCCCGCACTATAGAGGCAACTCTGGCGAAAGGTCGCTTTTACGTGTAGTCGATGGATCGGGGGCGCGTGATCAGGGGGCGATGAATGGGGGGGACAGCTTTAAGGGGCCCTGGGACATACATAAATACACACAAGTAGCCGGATTCCCAATATTTTTATATTTTCAGAGTTTTCGTTTTACTCCCCACTTCCCACAATTTCCCATACTTTCTGGGACTCGACGACTCATTGTGTCTGTGTGTTTTTTTCCCTTCCTGAAGCTTGGGCTGCCAGAAAAGGGGCCCTGTCGGGGCTTACAGGTGGCCCCTTTCGGGCGCGGGAGGGGGTCTTTTCAGGGCCCGAAAGAGCACTTCTCTTCCCACGCCATGCATCGCCCCCCCTTGCAATAGGTTGGCGGCGCGCACAAGGGGGTGGAGGGAAGGGGGAAGGCTTCTTAAAAGGAGGCTGCTGCTTAGAAGGCGCCGACCTTACATCTATAGATAAGGCCCGCGCCTTCTAAAGAACACAAGGGATTCTAAGAAACCCTCCCCCCCTCCCCCCACCCCCCTCTGCGCGTGGCTGAATAGGGGCCGACCACAAAACACCTTCCACAAGAAACCAAACCCTGACCCCCCAGGACATCCATCGATTTTTTTGTGTGAGACCGTCACGCCTTCCATGGCAAAGCCATCGAAACCCAAAAAGCCCATGGCACCATGGAGGCACGCAAGGTGTTCCTTGGCATGGGCCCCCACTGTAAATCGCGCCCAAGTGGGGGCCTCATGGGGCCCGGGAAAGAACGGGGTTCGCCATAAAGGGGGCGCTCCTGAGGGAAAACTGGTCCTGGGGAAGGATGAAACACCGGCCGCCCACGGCCCAGCAGGGAAAACGTTCGGAGGGGGTCAGATCAGGAAAAAAGTACTGGCACCGCTACCCTTCGCCCGTTTCTTCTTTTGGGCCTCTTGGGAACCCTCGTCGTCACCGAGGGATTCGCCTCGAAGTCCTGCTCAGAACGCTGCCCGGGAGTGGGGTCCGGGGAGCAGCGGTACTGGTGCCTGTTCGTTTCCCCTGGGGCGTAGGTTACCATGGGGCAAGCGGGTCCTGAGGGACGCTGGTCCTCAGGTTCGGGAGCGGCCAAGAGGGGAGTGTCTAAAAGGGGGGGTGCAAATCATGACCGGCGGCGCGTGCGCGGCCCAGCGGGGGGGCCAGGGACGTAATGAAATAAAAAGAGGCGCCATGACATCTGGGGAAACATCATGGCCCACGCCATAATGTCCACCCCCCCTAGTCATCACCCCCGTTTTTTCCGCCCCCGACAGGTTTTGCACCGTCTCTGGACCCTCGGGCCCAGGGCCCTCCACGGGCCCCAGGCATGCCGGAACCAAGGGCTCGGGATGCACGAGTGGTCCTGCGGGGGGAGGCCCCAGGGCCCGGCACCCGCCCCCCTCGGGACCCGTCTGCTACCGGCCAGGTGGGCGACGCACCGGCGTCGCCGGGCTGCGCATGGCGCATGGCGCAGCACGATCCTCCTGTGATATGGATCGGCGCGCAGCGCCGGGGATGCTTCTGCTGCGAGCGCGGCTCGAACAACTGGCGTAGCACTAAAGCCAAGGGCCCTGAGAAATAAAAATGGCAGCGGCGAGCAAGGAATGAAACCGCAGGCCCCTCGAGGCTTCTGGGGAACCCCTCTCGGGCCTCTTTCATTCCTGGGGAGTGAGCTTGATTCGCGCTCCTCCTAGGACATGCTCGGATCGCCGTCTCGGGCGTCAGAGCGGGGAATATGTAGCAAGCAAGTCACTCGCCAGCAAAAACACTGAGATAAGCAAGCCAACGGCTTGCATTGTATAGCATACAAGGCGTACTCAGCAATGGCCGGGGTTCGTCTGCGATGCGACAAAACCCAACAGACATAGCCATCCTCTCAATATACTAAACGGGTGTGATCGTCATCACAAACAAAAAGCTATGCACACTGAAACGAATGAAGCTTCTCAAGAAAAAAAAGGCGGGGCTACGTGTGGATCTATCCAGGTGTAAAAACAACGATATCGGAATACGTAAATCTTGACCAGGCGTAGTATTGGCAACGATGCGGAATACATAAGTCTTGACCAGGCGTAATATGGGCAGTAGAACATGTCCCGTCCGATCGGCCAAACTGCCGTCAAACCAAGGGGGGGGTCGCTTTCTCTTCGGCTTCGCCGGCTTGTCCGCTAAATCGGATCCCCGCCAAACATCTCTGCCTGTGAGCTTCCACCGGCGGCCCCTGAGGTCATTCATCACACTCTCCGGGAAGATCGTGAAATCGAGATTTCCGAAATGATAATACCGAGGCAACCACGAAGCGTGCTTCTTGAAGGTCTTGCAAGTGATGTATACACTATGCGGGTTGTGGCCGATGACCACATCATGACTAGGAATGCCAGTCGCGCAACTGAGCATGTCATTCGGCTGCGCAGTCGGAGAGGATCCGCTCCACGACACAACGCTGGCTGATGAGGCTGAAACGGAACCCGATGAACTCGCCACGGAAACCATAGTCGGTGATGCGGGAGCCGAACTTCCCTGCGACCTTGCTGATCTTGATCGTCCAGATCCCCGTGCTGATGCTGCGGCATATGGTCATGGCGGTGGTGGTGTGATGGCAGACGGTGGTTCTGTCGGTACCTGCGGCGGTGGCGGCTGCTGAATCGTAGCAGATGCTGCTGAGCTCGATGCCTGTGCGCTGCTGAACACGTCCGCGTGGGACATCGTGATGTCACCATCGTGGTCGCGGTCCTCTGGAATGGTAGGTGGTATGTTGCGGCGTCGGCCGAGCATGCGGCCGTCCCAGCCAGGGTGCTCGCCCATGGCCTTCGCCTCGGCGGCGCTCTCCTCGTTGGCGATCGCGTTGTTCTGCTTCAGGATCGTCCAGATCGTCATGAAGATGCCGAAACCGATAGTCATGCCGAGGACCAGCGTGAACATCAGCAGGCAAATATAGAAACTGTAGTCCGGCATTTTCGGCGTGGGCGCAGGCTGCCCCTCGACCTTGCCGAGGCAGGTGAACTTCACAGGACTGATGCGAGCATGGCAGCGCGTGGCTGCCGGCTCCCATAGGTGTGTTTGCAAGCCCCGAAGAACGACAGCAGGACGCCCGCCTCCATCGTCTTCGTCAAGGCGTCCGCGACCATGGCCCAGGTCGGGATCCAGCTGAGCTTGAGCGCACTGTCGGGGTGCACGGCCCCCTTGCTCATGGAGGCGACGATGCGGATTCGCTTGTCGGTAGACTGGCCTATCTGAAGCGATGTGCGTCACGAGACCCTTGCTGTCGCTGTAGATCTCCCCAGGGCGCTTGTCGGCGAGCACGTCGATCTGCTTGAGCGCCGTCTTGGGGTTGTAGGCCTCGGTCAACAGCTGTCGGAACCACACGTTGGTCTCCGACCCCTCGAGGGCAGCGTAGCCCTCGGCAGCGAGGGTCGACTTCACCGACCTCTTTACTGTGCCAGAGTGCCAGGCGACGGGCAGGCACAGGTCGCACCGACCCCCGACGACCTCACGCGGGCGAAGGGCGAGCCCCATCACCATGCCCCACTGACTCTTGACGCCGTCCACGTTGGCGAAGGCGGCGTCGCTGAAGCACGCGGTGATTGCCGTCTTCAGGT